TGGCACACAGGGCACACACACAACAATTACACAATGAGAGCCATGGCGATGTCATCTGATACCCGAGAGAATGACCCACTGACCTGATGGACATGAACCATTTTCCCTCCCCCATTATCACCCCCCTCACATTTTTTCGGAAAAAGGGGGAGGGGGAAGGAGAGAAAGAGGGAAGAAGAAAGGCAGAAGAAGAGAGAGAAGGGGAGAAGCAGAGAGAGAGAACAGAGAGGAAGCAGAAGAGAAAAAGAGAGAACAGAGAGAGAAGCAAGAGAGAGACGGAGAGGGAGAAAGAGAGACATGGATAGGACAAGGGAAGGGTAGAGGTCAGGAAAGAAAAGGGGATTTAAGGCACGCAGGGGGAGGGTTATGTGTGTTCAAATCTTTTTATTGTCCTGTTCCCCCCTCCATCTGCCCCCCCTACTCCCTTCTTAAAGTACATTAACCCTTTGCCTTGACTATAGTACTCCTTTGTCCACACCTCTCCTCTCCTCTGTCCACCCCTCTCCTCTCCTCTGTCCACCCCTCTCCTCTCCTCTGTCCACCCCTCCATCTGACTCTCCTCTAAACCTCTCTGTCCTCTTTCACCACCCTCTCCTCCCCTTTGTCCCCCCTCTGCTCTCCTCTGTCCCCCCCTCTCCTTTTCTGACCTCTCCTCTGACCTCTCCTCTCCTCTGTCCACCCCTCTCTCTGTCCTCTCCTCTCCCTGTTACTCTTCTCCTCGTCCCCCCCTCTCCTCTGACTCTCCTCTGTCACCCTCTCCTTGTCCACCCCTCTCCTCTGTCCTCTCCTCTCCTCTGTCCACCCCTCTCCTCTGTCCTTCCTTTTCCTCTTCCACCCCTCTCCTCTGTCCTCTCCTCTGTCCTCTCTTCTGTCCACTCCTCTTCTCTGTCCACTCTTCTCCTAAACCCTCTGTCCACCCCTCTCCTCTCCTGTCCTTCCTTTCCTCTGTCCACACCTCTCCTCTGACAACCCCACCCCTCCACTCCTCTCCTCCTTTTCCCAGTAGAGTATTTAAGCTTCAGGTCAACCCACGTCCCTCTCCACTGTACAATCAGGAATGTAAGAAGGATGACCAAAACAAAGAGACAGACACCAGACAAACAGACAGACACCACCAGACAGACACCAGCCCCAACAACACCAGACGACAGCCCACCAGACAGACAGACAACAGACAGACAGACAGACAGACAGACAGACAGACACCAGACAGACACCAGACATGGAAACACCCAGCCCAGACAGACACCAACAGACAGACACGACCAGACACACAGACCAGACAGACGGGACACAGACAGACAGACTGACACAGACAGACCCAGACAGACAGACAGACAGACAGATAGACAACCAGACAGACAGACAGACAGACACCAGACAGATCTCAACTCGTGAAGTTGCAATGATATGAAACGGTGGGGAAATCAGCCCAGAACTAAAAGGGGAGGATCTTGTAAATGATCTTAAGGCAGCTGGGACTATAGTCACCAAGAAACAATTGGTAACACACTATGCTGTGAAGGACTGAAATCCTGCAGCGCCCGCAAGGTCCCCGTTGCTCAAGAAAGCACATATACAGGGCCGTCTGAAGGTATTGCCAATGAATATCTGAATGATTCAGAGGAGAACTGGGGGATGAAAGTGTTGTGGGTCAGATGAGACCAAAATGTAGCTCTTTGGAATCAACTCAACTCGCCGGTTTGGAGGAGGAGGAATGCTGCCTATGACCCCAAGAACACCATCCCCACCGTCAAACATGGAGGTGGAAACATTATTCTTTGGGGTTGTTTTTCTGCTAAGGGGACAGGACAACTTCACCGCATCAAAGGGACGATGGACGGGGCCAGGTATCGTCAAATCTTGGGTGAGAATCTCCTTTCCTCAGCCAGGGCATTGAAAATGGGTCATGGATGGGTATTCCAGCATGACAATGACCCAAAACACACGGCCAAGGCAACAAAGGAGTGGCTCAAGAAGAAGCACATTAAGGTCCTGGAGTGGCCTAGCCAGTCTCCAGACCTTAATCCCATAGAAAATCTGTGGAGGGAGCTGAAGGTTCGAGTTGACAAACATCAACCTCGAAACTTTAATTACTTGGAGAAGATCTGCAAAGAGGAGTGGGTCAAAATCCCTCCTGAGATGTGTGCAAAGCTGGTGGCCAACTACAAGAAACATCTGACCTCTGTGATTGCCAACAAGGGTTTTGCAGAGGGGTCAAATACTAATTTCCCTCATTAAAATGCAAATCAATTTATAAAATTTTTGACATGTGTTTTTCTGGATTTTTTTGTTGTTATTCTGTCTCTCACTGTTCAAATAAACCTACCATTAAAATTATAGACTGATATAATTTCTTTGTCAGTGGGCAAACGTACAAAATCAGCAGGGGATCAAATACTTTTTTCCCTCACAGTATATATAACAGAGACATCTCTTCTCTCTGTGACTTTGGTAGCTTGTCCTTCTCTCTTTCTTTCAGTTGATGTTTAGTCTTTCACCACTACAGATCTATGTGCTTGTGTGACTTTAGCTTGACCTCCGGCTGAGACAGTCTGTCAGACACACACACACACACACCCCCGGCTCTGCCATAAAAGCCCCTTCATCATTCATTTCTGAGTGGGCTCTAGTTGCGTCATCCACTGCCACCCCTGCTTTTAGCTCTAGTGAAGTCACACACACATTCGCCCTGGCGGACACACAGACACACAGACACACACACACACATTCACACACTGAGAGACCATGGCACACAGACACACACACACACATTCACACACTGAGAGACCATGGCGATGTCATCTGATACCATGAGAGAATGTGACCCACTGACCCTGATGGACATTAGCCCTCCCCTTCTCCCCCTCCCCTTCTCCCCCTCTCTCTCTATCCATATTTCCTACTCCCCCCTCTCTCTCCATCTCACTCTCTCTCTCTCTTTCTTTCCCCTCCTCTCTCTTCCTCTTCCTCCCTCTCTTTCTCTCTCTCTGTCTTTCCGTTCTGACTGAACCAAGTCTTTTGTCTTAGCCCTGCTCTCAGACAGCCATTCTTCAGACTAGCTGGTTCTCAATCACAGCATCTGTCTGGAGCCCGGGTCGACCCAGAACACATTATGCATGCACTCTAACCCACCACCATGCACTCTAACAAACCACCATACACTCTAACCCACCACCATACACTCTAACCCACCACCATGCACTATAACCCACCACCATACACTCTAACCCCACATCATATAAACCCACCCATACACATAACCACACCCAAAATATAACCCCCACCATCCTATAACCACCACCGTACACTCTAACCACCACCAATTACACTCAACCCCCACCATACCTCTAACCCACCACTGTACACTCTAACCCACCACCATACACTCTAACCCACCACCAGCCCCCTTACACTATAACCACCACCGTACACTCTAACCCACCACCACACACTCTAACCCACCACCATACACTCTAACCCACCACCATACACTCTAACCCACCACCATACACTCTAACCCACCACCATACACTCTAACCCACCACCATACACTATAACCCACCACCGTACACTCTAACCCACCACCACACTCTAACCCACCACCATACACTCTAACCCACCACCGTACACCCTAACCCACCACCATACACTCTAACCCACCACCATACACTCTAACCCACCACCATACACTCTAACCCACCACCATACACTATAACCACCACCGTACAGTCTAACCCACCACCGTACACTCTAACCCACCACCATGCACTCTAACCCACCACCGTACACTCTAACCCACCACTGTACACTCTAACCCACCACCATACACTCTAAACCCCACCATACACTCTAACCCACCACTGTACACTCTAACCCCACACCATACACTCTAACCCACCACCATACCTATAACCACCACCGTACACTCTAACCCCACCCACCGTACACTCTAACCCACACCATGCACTCTAACCACCACCGTACACTCTAACCCACCACTGTACACTCTAACCCACCACCATACACTCTAACCCACCACCATACACTCTAACCCACCACTGTACACTCTAACCCACCACCATACACTCTAACCCACCACCATACACTCTAACCCACCACCGTACACTCTAACCCACCACCATACACTCTAACCCAACCACCATACACTATAACCACCACCATACACTCTAACCCACCACCATACAATCTAACCCACCACCATACACTCTAACCCACCACCGGTACACTCTAATCCACCACCGTACACCCTAAACCCACCACCATACACTATAACCACCACCCGTACACTCTAACCCACCACCATACACTCTAACCCACCACCATACACTATAACCACCACCGTACACTCTAACCCACCACCGTACACTCTAACCCACCACCATACACTCTAACCCACCACCATACACTCTAACCACCACCGTACACTCTAACCCACCACCATACACTCTAACCCACCACCATACACTATAACCACCACCGTACACTCTAACCCACCACCGTACACTCTAACCCACCACCATACACTCTAACCCACCACCATACACTATAACCACCACCATACACTCTAACCCACCACCATACACTCTAACCCACCACCGTACACTCGAACCCACCACTGTACACTCTAACTCACCACCGTACACTCTAACCCACCACCATACACCCATTGGTTCACTAACTGTTGGGTGCGCCTGAGGGGTCGGCAGGAGTGGGGGGCGAGTTTGTAGAATGCACAAGGTGGAATTTCGAAATGTGCATCATCAGTTTTCCTTTTGTCAGTCATTGCATACTTTGGAGAGCTAGTTATAACTTGTCAGAAATACGTTGAGAGAGAGAGAGAGAGAGAGAGAGAGAGAGAGAGAGACTTCCTTCCTGTTCCATCTTAATCCCCTTTGTTTAATGGTGACAGTGTATTATATTCACCAGAACTGTTTTCAGTGGGATAATGTTCTCTCTCTCTTTCTGTATGTTCCAGTCAGTTATTGGCCCCCGGTTATCAGGAGATATGGTACAGTCCTAGCGGTTCCCGCCAGACCTCCTTTCCACCCAGCACTGTGAGTTCAATGGGATGTTCCAAATCATCTCACAATAGGGGGTATTCATGAAACCAGCCTGTTTGTGGATGTCCAATAGCAAAAGAGTTGGCTGAGTCCGAGACAGGCTAACCAAGCTCTTAAATCTTAGGTGCCATCATTGCAAAAAGAAAAGAGTGTGATGTGAGTTTGTTTAACTCTACTCTCATGTTGCAGGGCCACTGTTTCTACCATGGTGAGGTCCGAGGTGTGGAGGGGTCCAGTGTAGCACTCAGCACCTGCTCAGGTCTCAGGTAAGAGTTTACACAGGTAACACTGCTGATGGAAGTGGTGATCACTAACTGCATGGAATAGGACAGCACTCCAAAAGATTCATTCATTTGATTTTAATGATAATTCAGCCATGTATTTGTCACACAATCATTCTCAAACAAACGCAATAGGAGAGCAGGTACTGTCAAAAGACGATGTATTTATTTACCATGCACTGACTGTTGAGATATGCAGGCCAGTGTGTTTCTAGGTCATTGGGTTCCATGTTAAGTCATTGAGGCAACAGCATCATCAGGGGTGGAGTTTAGAGGTGGGGGTCCAGCCATGCTGTTGTTTCCTTTCTGGGTTCACAGAGGAGACAGTTGTAGGAGAATAACAGACACATGCATTGACAGAACATCTGCAGGAGGAGGAGTGCTCACACACGGCCCCATATCTGCAGGAAAGGAATTAATGAATACATCTCCCTGCTATGTCCCCCGGACAGAACTGCAAACGCAGCATAGAGCCCAGAGCGTGCAACGTGTGCGAGCGCGCACAGACACACACACACACACACAGCTGTAGAAAGCATCTGGAGAAGGGTCGCCCACAGTCCCTGGTATGAATCCGCTCCCTGATCCAATCCTCACAGAGCCAGAACCTGCTATGTGCTGGTTGTCTATTGGGAGAAGCTGGAACAGCATAGCCCATGGTACACAGCAGGACGCCTACAGACCTACAGCTCTATCTACCCCAGCAGACTGAGTGGAAACATCAGAAATCCCCACTGAAGATCTCTCTCTCTCTCTCTCTCTCTCTCTCTCTCTCTCCTCTCCTCTCTCTATCTATCTATCTATCTATCTATCATCTATCATCTCTATCTAATCTATCATCTATAGATCTATCTATCTATCTACGATCTATCTAGTCTATCTATCGATTATCTAATCTAGGCTATCTATCTATCCATCCTCCATCCATCCATCCATCCATCCATCCATCCATCCATCCATCCATCCATCATCCATCCATCCATCCATCATCCATCCATCCCATCCATCCATCCATCCTCATCCATCCATCCATCCATCCATCCATCCATCCATCCATCCATCCATCCATCCATCCATCCATCCATCCATCCATCATCCCCATCCATCCATCCATCCATCCATCCTCCATCCATCCATCCATCCATCCATCCATCCATCCATCCATCCATCACATCCATCCATCCATCCATCCATCCATCCATCCATCCATCCATCCATCCATCCATCCATCCATCCATCCATCCATCCATCATCCATCCATCCATCCATCCATCCATCCATCCATCCATCCATCCATCCATCCATCCATCCATCCATCCATCCATCCATCCATCCATCCATCCATCCATCCATCCATCCATCCATCCATCCATCCATCCATCCATCCATCCATCCATCCATCCATCCATCCATCCATCCATCCCTCCATCCATCCATCCATCCATCCATCCATCCATCCATCCATCCATCCATCTGGTATCAGGATTTATATACATAGTTCAACATACAGTCAACCATAATGTAGTTGTCTCAGACCTGACATGCAAATCCCAGCTGCTTCTAGTTTTTCATTCTGCCACATCTAACTTCTCGCAATAGATATTTGATGGAGTTTGAAACACCACTACTTTCCCCAGCTATAAAAGTTTTAGTTAGTTAAGTAATATAAATGTTTTATGTTTACCTAGGGGACTGGTTACAGTGAACACCAGCGTCAGCTACCTGTTAGAACCCCTGCCCGCCGTCACCATGGATACACAGCCTCCTCACGCCGTGTTCCGAGCGGAGAACCTCCGTCTGCCCAAAGGAACCTGCGGGCAACGCCATAGCAACCAGGGCCAGGGGGAGGGGCTAGGTGACCTCATCCAGGGAATGATGTCACCGTGGGGTGGAAGGGTGAGTGGAGGAGGGATAGATAGACTGGTTGGTGTCTGATATGATAACAACTATCTTCTTCAGAGAATGGGGAGTGCTGCTTTGTATCAGTGAAATATCCAAGAAATATCAGCCATTTGAAGTCCCATGAAAAATAGAGGCATAACATACTATGAGTTGATAATAAAACATTATGGGGGGGGGGGTATATACAGTGGGGAGAACAAGTATTTGATACACTGCCGATTTTGCAGGTTTTCCTACTTACAAAGCATGTAGAGGTCTGTAATTTTTATCATATGTACACTTCAACTGTGAGAGACGGAATCTAAAACCAAAATCCAGAAAATCACATTGTATGAATTTTAAGTAATTAATTTGCATTTTATTGCATGACATAAGTATTTGATACATCAGAAAAGCAGAACTTAATATTTGGTACAGAAACCTTTGTTTGCAATTACAGAGATCATACGTTTCCTGTAGGTCTTGACCAGGTTTGCACACACTGTAGCAGGGATTTTGGCCCACTCCTCCATACAGACCTTCTCCAGATCCTTCAGGTTTCGGGGCTGTCGCTGGGCAATACGGACTTTCAGCTCCCTCCAAAGATTTTCTATTGGGTTCAGGTCTGGAGACTGGCTAGGCCACTCCAGGACCTTGTGGTGCTTCTTACGGAGCCACTCCTTAGTTGCCCTGGCTGTGTGTTTCGGGTCGTGTCATGCTGGAAGACCCAGCCACGACCCATCTTCAATGCTCTTACTGAGGGAAGGAGGTTGTTGGCCAAGATCTCGCGATACATGGCCTCACCCATCCTCCCCTCAATACGGTGCAGTCGTCCTGTCCCCTTTGCAGAAAAGCATCCCCAAAGAATGATGTTTCCACCTCCATGCTTCACGGTTGGGATGGTGTTCTTGGGGTTATACTCATCCTTCTTCTTCCTCCAAACACGGCGAGTGGAGTTTAGACCAAAAAGCTATATTTTCGTCTCATCAGACCACATGACCTTCTCCCATTCCTCCTCTGGATCATCCAGATGGTCATTGGCAAACTTCAGACGGGCCTGGACATGCGCTGGCTTGAGCAGGGGGACCTTGCGTGCGCTGCAGGATTTTAATCCATGACGGCGTAGTGTGTTACTAATGGTTTTCTTTGAGACTGTGGTCCCAGCTCTCTTCAGGTCATTGACCAGGTCCTGCCGTGTAGTTCTGGGCTGATCCCTCACCTTCCTCATGATCATTGATGCCCCACGAGGTGAGATCTTGCATGGAGCCCCAGACCGAGGGTGATTGACCGTCATCTTGAACTTCTTCCATTTTCTAATAATTGCACCAACAGTTGTTGCCTTCTCACCAAGCTGCTTGCCTATTGTTCTGTAGCCCATCCCAGCCTTGTGCAGGTCTACAATTTTATCCCTGATGTCCTTACACAGCTCTCTGGTCTTGGCCATTGTGGAGAGGTTGGAGTCTGTTTGATTGAGTGTGTGGACAGGTGTCTTTTATACAGGTAACGAGTTCAAACAGGAGGGCTTCTTAAAGAAAAACTAACAGGTCTGTGATAGCTGGAATTCTTACTGGTTGGTAGGTGATCAAATACTTATGTCATGCAATAAAATGCAAATTAATTACTTAAAAATCATACAATGTGATTTTCTGGATTTTTGTTTTAGATTCCGTCCCTCACAGTTGAAGTGTACCTATGATAAAAAATTACAGACCTCTACATGCTTTGTAAGTAGGAAAACCGGCAAAATCGGCAGTGTATCAAATACTTGTTCTCCCCACTGTATATATGTGTGTGGCGTGCGCTCATACTTTTAACAAGTAATAATGCACTATAATAGTTGGGTATAAAGTTCTCTAATACGTCCTGATATTTCTCCAGGAGCGTAGAGACGTGGGCCAGAATATGAAGTATGTAGAGCTGCTGCTGGTAGCTGACCATGCTGAGGTAAGAGGCCAGACATTTTACATTGCCATTTATTCCAGTTAGTCAGTTGTATCGGTGAGACGGTAGAAAGCATGACCTCCATTTCTTCTTTTGACCTGTGATTCATACTCCAAGGAAGAACTAGATACCATCTATAACTCTGTTACATCCCCCGATCCCTTCATCTCTCTATGGTCATATCTCAACCACATCCTCCACACTCCCCCCTAATGAGATCTAACAGTGTCTGTTCTAAAATCCTTCATTGCTGTCTGACGTGTCTGATTGGTTGAGGCCATCCTGCTGCCATGACTCACGTCCTGTGTGAAATTGTGTGTCTGTGTAGTTTCAGAAGCACGGCAGGGACTTAAATAGGACGAAGAGGAAACTGCTGGAGGCGGCTAACTACGTAGACAAGGTGAGAAACACCGCCCCCACACACACTGTGGTTAATTTGGAAGGTGGTTGGTCCCTGGTCTGGGGGCGTGCCTGGGTGGAGACATAATACACTATCCTAAACAATAGAATACTGACAAAAGGCACCTATCACAGCATACTGCAATTTTTGGGGGGAGAATGACTGTGAGAAGGTCAGTTCTGATGACTTTTTATAAGGACATTCTACTGCAAAATGAATGAAAATAAAATGACATCTAAAATATAATTTCCCCCCAAAAATTAGCCCAATAACATATAGGTCCATATTATCAGGCAGGTGTGCTAGATCACAAACTTTAGTTAGAAACATATTGATAACTTAAATGTCCCCCAAAAAAACTACGTTCCACTGGCACTCAGCCAACCAAGGATCACGTAGTGTAAAAATAATGTAGGCCTAGCTGAGACACCTGACCCTGTTACATTTAGCCCCGGCCTTCCCTATGCATTCAATGCCACTGGCACAATTGGCGAGTGCTAATGCGCATAAACCATGCCGCTGCTAAACACTCTGGTTCTAAACACTCTGGTTCTAAACACTCTGGTTCTAAACACTCTGGTTCTAAACACTCTGGTTCTAAACACTCTGGTTCTAAACACCCTGGTTCTAAACACTCTGGTTCTAAACACTCTGGTTCTAAACACTCTGGTTCTAAACACTCTGGTTCTAAACACTCTGGTTCTAAACACTGGTTTGAAAAACTATTGTTCGAAAAACGATGGTTCTAAAATGGTGCATTTTAGGACTACTAATTTCTTGGATTTGAGAAATAAGTGTAGCCTGATAACACTAGAAAGAAATTTGAATGCGCCTCGAGATGAATATTATTTTCTCGCATAGAATGCGACAGGTTGAACAATTGAATAGGTAAACTATTCTACTATGGGGTTGTTTGATTTAGCTGTTGCAATTTTTCATTAGATAATTCAAATAACCATATCTACCGGGTCTCAGCTCCGTCTGGCTCTCATTTGGATGATAGATGCCAGGTCTCGTACCCGGCAGGACCCGGCCCAATTTAACCCCTGCACACACACACACACACACACACACACACACACACACACACACACACACACACACACACACACACACACACACACGTTTGCTACTGTATCCTCACTGAACATAATTAACAATGATAATGTACTTCTATATTAGTCAAATGATCTTTGGGCTGTGTGTTTGTGCAGTACTACAAGTCTCTAAGTATCCGTGTGGCAGTAATCGGTCTGGAGGTGTGGTCTGATCAGGACAGGATCAGTGTGTCTGGTAACCCCTACAGTACCCTGGGAGCTTTCCTGGCCTGGAGACGCAAACAGCTACACACACTACCTAACGACAACGCTCAACTCATCACGTTAGTGTTACACGCACGCACGCACACTCACTCTCACACACACACACACTCCTCAATGACATTACTCAGCTCATAACATTAGTGTTTACACACACTCCTTACTACACTCTCCTTTAATCCATCCATCCTTAATCCATCTCTCTTTCCTTCCATTAAGACCATTCAGTGGAACTACAAAGCTGTTTTTTTTTGTTTCCTCAGGGGCGTGTCGTTTCAGGGCACCACCATTGGGCTGGCCCCTCTCAGAGCCATGTGCTCAGAGTACCAGTCAGGGGGAGTCAACTCAGTAAGACTGCAACAGAACTCTGTCATTTGAGATTTGACCATAGCCAATAGCAGCCCACTAAAGATTTTTCTAAAGTTGTAATAAAGTTGTGATGTATTTGTAATATCACACATAGATGTACAACCAAGCAAACATGAAATGCATGTCCCTTTGACTTTCAATACGGGAATCCACCTCTAACCATTTACCTCTACCCCTTGACCTCTGCCCCCTGCAGGACCACTCTGACAGTGCTGTGGGCGTGGCAGCGACCATGGCCCACGAGATGGGGCATAACTTTGGCATGAGCCACGACAGCCCTGGGTGCTGCCAGGCCAAGGCTGATGATGGAGGCTGCATCATGGCTGCTGCCACTGGGTGAGAGAATCTATCTATGTTGAAAAGCTCTTTCTTATTAAAGATATTTTATTTCAATGAGAATAAACCTGTATAAATAAAGGTTAAATAACCAATGATATAATGATTGATCCTGCTTTGTAAAATATAGTCCTGGGACACGTTCAGCTGAGCAAAATGTTGTGGAATATTAATGTCTGTATAGAAATATATTACATAGAACAGACTTTCTTCTCTGACATGTAGAGTAGAAGGAATCATGTAAAGTCTATTCATGCCTTTTTCTATCTGCAACGTGTCGCAACGTTGCACCTTACTGAATACACCCCTGGTGTGTGTGTCGCAGCCACCCGTTTCCGCGTGTGTTTAATGACTGTAACCAGCGGGAGCTGAGCAGGTACCTGAGCTCCGGAGGGGGGAAGTGTCTGTTCAACCTCCCCAACACCAGAGCCATGTACGGGGGGCAGCGCTGTGGGAACGGGTACCTGGAGGATGGAGAGGAGTGTGACTGTGGAGACGAGGAGGTGAGGGGGGAGTGTGTGCGTGTGCTTGTGCGTGTGCGAGTGTGTGTACTGATTATTCATCCTCTCTCTGTAGGAGTGTTCCAGTCCCTGCTGTAATGCCAACAACTGTACTCTGAAGGCTGGAGCAGAGTGTGCCCATGGAGTCTGCTGCCACAACTGTAAGGTACTGTACACACTGTCCTCTCTCTTTCTTTCTGGTTGTCCTCTCTCTCTGTCTCTGTCTCTCTCTCTATCCTCCACCCTTTCTCTGTCTCCTCCTCCAATATCTCTTTCTCTCTGTGTTGTGTCGTTTGATAGTCTACACTGTCCCCCCTCTCTCTCTCTCTCTCTCTCTCTCTCTCTCTCTCTCTCTCTCTCTCTCTCTCTCTCGCTCTCTCTCGCTCTCTCTCGCTCTCTCTCTCGCTCTCTCTCTCTCTCTCTCTCTACAATTTCAATTCAAAGGGCTTTATTGGCATGGGAAACATGTTTACATTGCCAAAGCAAGTGAAATAGATAATAAACTAAAGTGAAATAAAAAATGAACAGTAAACATTACACAAAAGTTCCAAAAGAATAAAGACATTTCAAATGTCATATTATGTCTATATACAGTGTTGTAATGATGTGCAAACAGTTAAACTACAAAAGGGAAAATAAATAAATATGGGTTGTATTTACAATAGTGTTTGTTCTTCACTGGTTGCCCTTTTCTTGTGGCAACAGGTCACAAATCTTGCTACTGTGATGGCACACTGTGGTATTTCACCCAATAGATATGGGAGTTTATCGAAATTGGGTTTGTTTTCGAATTCTTTGTGGATCTGTGTAATCTGAGGGAAATATGTGTCTCTAATATGGTCATACATTTGGCAGGAGGTTAGGAAGTGCAACTCAGTTTCCACCTCATTTTGTGGGCAGTGTGCACATAGCCTGTCTTCTCTTGAGAGCCAGGTCTTCTCAATAGCAAGGCCATGCTCACTGAGTCGGTACATAGTCAAAGCTTTCCTTAATCTCTGTTTAGGACCAAATAGCATTATAGTTTGCTCCGTTTTTTTGTTAATGCTTTACAATGTGTCAAGTAATGATCTTTTTGTTTTCTCATGATTTGGTTGGGTCTAATTGTGTTGCTGTCCTGGGGCTATGTGGGGTCTGTGTTTGTGAACAGAGCCCCAAGACCAGCTTGCTTAGGGGCTCTTCTCCAGGTTCATCTCTCTGTAGGTGATGGCTTTGTTATGGAAGGTTTGGGAATCGCTTCCTTTTAGGATTTTAATAATTCTGCTCTGCATGCATTATTTGGTGTTTTACATTGTACATGGAGGATATTTTTTGCAGAATTCTGCATGCAGAATTCACATTTTGTGAATTCTTGGTTGGTGAGCGGACCCCAGACCTCACAACCATAAAGGGCAATGGGTTCTATAACTGATTCAAGTATTTTTAGCCAGGTCCTAATTGGTATGTTGAATTTTATGTTCCTTTTGATGGCATAGAAGGCCCTTCTTGCCTTGTCTCTCAGATCGTTCACAGCTTTGTGGAAGTTACCTGTTGCGCTGATGTTTAGGTATGTATCGTTTTTTGTGTGCTCTAGGGCAACGGTGTCTAGATGGAATTTGCATTTGTGGTCCTGGCAACTGGACCTTTTTTTGGAACACCAGGGATTTACTGTAAGGGCCCAGGTCTAACAGAGTCTATGCAGAAGATCTAGGTTCTGCAGTAGGCCCTCCTTGGTTGGGGACAGAAGCACCAGATCATCAGCAAACAGTAGACATTTGACTTAATATTCTAGTATGGTGAGGCTGGGTGCTGCAGACTGTTCTAATGCCCTCACCAATTAGTTGATATACAGTTGAAGTCGGAAGTTTACATACACTTAGGTTGGAGTCATTAAAACTAATTTTTCAACCACTCCACACATTTCTTGTTAACAAACTATAGTTTTGGCAAGTCGGTTAGGACATCTACTTTGTGCATGACACAAATACATTTTCCAACAATTGTTTACAGACAGATTATTTCACTTATAATTCACTGTATCACAGTTCCAGTGGGTCAGAAGTTCACATACACTAAGTTGACTGTGCCTTTAAACAGCTTGGAAAATGCCACAAAATGATGTCATGGCATTAGAAGCTTCTGATAGGCTAATTGACATCATTTGAGTCAATTGGAGGTGTACCTGTGGATGAATTTCAAGGCCTACCTTCAAACTCAGTGCCTCTTTGCTTGACATCATGGGAAAATCAAAAGAAATCAGCCAAGACCTCAGAAAAACAAATGTAGACCTCCACAAGTCTGGTTCATCCTTGGGAGCAATTTCCAAACGCCTAAAGGTACCACGTTCATCTGTACAAACAATAGTACGCAAGTATAAACACCATGGGACCACACAGCCGTCATACCGCTCAGGAAGGAGACGCGTTCTGTCTCCTAGAGATGAACGTACTCAGAACAACAGCAAAGGACCTTGTGAAGATGCTGGAGGAAACGGGTACAAAAGTATCTATATCCACAGTAAAACGAGTCCTATATCGACATAACCTGAAAGGCCGCTCAGCAAGGAAGAAGCCACTGCTCAAAGCCACCTTAAAAAAGCCAGACTACGGTTTGCAACTGCACATGGGGACAAAGATCATACTTTTTGGAGAAATGTCCTCTGGTCTGATGAAACAAAAATAGAACTGTTTGGCCATAATGACCATCGTTATGTTTGGAGGAAAAATGGGGCCCTTGCAAGCCGAAGAACACCATCCCAACCGTGAAGCACAGGGGTGGCAGCATCGTGCTGTGGGGGTGCTTTGATGCAGGAGGGACTGGTGCACTTCACAAAATAGATGGCATCATGAGGAAGGAAAATTATGTGGATATATTGAAGCAACATCTCAAGACATCAGTCAGGAAGTTAAAGCTTGGTCGCAAATGGGTCTTCCAAATGGACAATGACCCCAAGCATACTTCCAAAGTCGTGGCAAAATGGCTTAAGGACAACAAAGTCAAGGTATTGGAGTGGCCATCACAAAGCCCTGAGCTCAATCCTATAGAAAAGTTGTGGGCAGAACTGAAAAGGCGGTTGCGAGCAAGGAGGCCTACAAACCTGACTCAGTTACACCAGCTCTGTCAGGAGGAATGGGCCAAAATTCACCCAACTTATTGTGGGAAGCTTGTGGAAGGCTACCCGAAACGTTTGACTCAAGTTAAACAATTTATAGGCAATGCTACCAAATACTAATTGAGTGGATGTAAACTTCTGACCCACTGGGAATGTGATGAAATAAATAAATAATTCTCTCTACTATTATTCTGACATTTCACATTCTTAAAATAAAGTGGTGATCCTAACTGACCTAAGACAGGGAATTTTTACTAGGATTAAATGTCAGGAATTGTGAAAAACTGAGTTTAAATGTATTTGGCTAAAGTGTATGTAAACTTCCGACTTCAACTGTATATGTTGAAGAGGGTGGGTCTTAAGCTGCATCCCTGTTTCACCCCACGGCCCTGTGGAAAGAAATGTGTGTTTTTTGCTAATTTTTACCGCACACTTGTTTGTGTACATGGATTTTATAATGTCGTATGTTTTTCCCCCAACACCACTTTCCATCAATTTGTATAGCAGACCCTCATGCCAAATTGAGTCAAAAAATTTTTTAAATCAACAAAGCATGAGAATACTTTGCATTTGTTTTGGTTTGTTTGTTTGTCAATTAGGGTGTGCAGGGTGAATACGTGGTCTGTCGTACAGTAATTCGGTAAAAAGCCAATTTGACATTTGCTCAGTACATTGTTTTCACTGAGGAAATGAACTAGTCTGCTGTTAATGATAATGCAGAGGTTTTTCCCAAGGTTGCTGTTGACGCATATCCCACGGTAGTTATTGGGGTCAAATTTGTCTCTACTTTTGTGGATTGGGGTGATCAGTCCTTGGTTCCAAATCTTGGGGAAGATGCCAGACCTGATGATGATGTTAAAGAGTTTAAGTATAGCCAATTAGAATTTGTGGTCTGTATATTTTATATTACACCACAGGCCTTTTTGGGTTGGAGGGTTTGTATTTTGTCCTGTAGTTCATTCAATGTAATTGGCGAATCCAGTGGGTTCTGGTAGTCTTTAATAGCTGATTCTAAGATTTGTAATTGATCTCTCTCTCTCTCTCTCTTCCTCCAATATCTCTGTCTCTGTCTCTGTCTCTCTCTCTCTCTCTCTCTCTCTCTCTCTCTCTCTCTCTCTCTCTCTCTCTCTCTCTCTCTCTCTCTCTCTCTCTCTCTCTCTCTCTCTCTCTCTCTCTCTTCCTCCAATATCTCTCTCTCGCTCTCTAGTTGAAGAGTCCAGGTGTGTTGTGTCGTATTCCATCAGGGTCATGTGACCTACCCGAGTACTGTGATGGGAAGGTGGAGTCTTGTCCTGCTAACTTATACCTGGTGGATGGTACTTCCTGTGCCGGGGGGCGGGCCTACTGCTACACTGGCATGTGTCTCACCCTGGAGCAGCAGTGTCAATCACTCTGGGGGCGGGGTTAGTACCTGTCAATCACTCCAGGGCGGAGTTAGTAGGAGTGTTATTGCATCCTGTTATAAAGTAATGGATTGCTTTTACAGCACTTTTCAATATAACGCTCCCCTATTGAAATCCATTGTCTGGTCCAAAACCAGTCCTTAGCCCCACTTTGGTGTCTGCGGCTTCCACAATATTGCTCACACATATCCGGGTCCTTCAGACTGGAGAAGGATTAGGACTGAGTTCTCTGTTTGGTGTCACTATCAGAGATCTTCACAGGACAGGCTTTACCTGACCACAGGAACATCTGTCTGCTAGCAGGCGGTCATATAACACTGTGTGTGTTCTGTCCTCTCTAGATGGCCGTCCTGCTCCAGACCTGTGCTTTAAGAAGGTGAACGAGGCAGGAGACTCCTTTGGGAACTGTGGCAAAGACCTGGTGGGGAAATACAGAGGATGCAGGGACAGGTGAGGAGACACACAGTTACCCCATGTGATTGTCTTTTCCTAAAACTTCTATTTACCGTTTTATGTATCTTCCATCCCTACATGTACAAATCCATGTGACCTTTCTGTTGTTTCAGGGATGCTAGGTGTGGTAAGATCCAGTGTGTGAGTTCAGCCTCCAAGCCCCTAGAGACTAACGCTGTTCCCATCGACACCACGGTCCGAGTGGGGAACAGGAAGATCCTCTGTAGGGGGACACACGTTTACCGACCAGGCCAGGGGGACGAGGGACAGGGGGACACACTGGACCCAGGACTGGTCATGACTGGGACCAAGTGTGGAGAGGACTCGGTGAGGAGGGGAGAGGAGAAGGGAGGAGTGGTTGGAGGGTGTGTGTGTGTGCGCTCTGGGCTCAATGCTGCGTTTGCAGTTCTGTTTGCAGTTCTGTTTGCAGTTCTGTTTGCAGTTCTGTTTGCAGTTCTGTCCAGGGAGATGTATTACTTAATTCCTTTCCTGCAGATGTGTGTGTCCTCATCCTGCAGATGTTCTGTCAGTGCATGTGTCTGTATATTTTAGTCCTCTAAGACTGTTGTGGCAGGATGGACTGGACTATCTACTTATGATAATGACTATTTCTCTCTCTCTCTCTCTTCTCTCTCTCTCTCTCTCCTCTCTCTCTCTCTCCTCTCTCTCTCTAGCTCTCTCTCGAGAGCGTAAGGAGAGGTATCTGCTATCTGGGCGATGACTAGACTCGATGCTATCTCTCTCTTCTCTTCAGCTCGAGCGATCGCAACTATTCGCTCCTATCTCGCTCTTATTCCCTCTGTCCTCATCCTCCTCTCTCTTCCTCCATGACGCTCATCGGCTAGCCTCGCATAGTCATGATCTAGCCTCGAAGCGTCTCTCTCTAGTACACATCCTTCTCTGAGTATCCGCTGATCGCTGCTCTCTCTTCTCTCGCTTCTTCTCTCTATCTGATTCTCTATCAGTTCCGTCTCTCTCTCGTCTCTCATCTCTCTCTCTCTCATCTCTCTCTCTCTCTCTCTCTCTCATCTTTCTCTCTCTCTCTCTCTCATCTTCTCTTCTCTCTCTCTCCTCCCCTATCTCTCCGCTCATCCTCTCCTCTCCTTCCTTCTCTTCTCCACCAGATCCCTTTCCTGGAGTCCGCAACAGTCTTTTCTGGAGTCCGCCGGTTGAGTGCAATGCCAAGTGCCACGGCCATGGGGTATGGGAGGGCTGGGTGTGTGATAGGGGAAGCGTATGTGAGTGATGTGTGAAGGGTAGGTAGGCGTATGGGCTACTGTAGGAAGGTGCTGGGTCTGAGGTTATGGACTCAGGGGTTTAATAAAGCTGTTATAACACATGATATAGAGTAGGAGGAATATTGAAAGGTTGTCAGTGTTGAAACCGTGTTGTGGTTTCTTCTTCTCTCTCTCTATCTGTGTAACAACAACAACCACTACTTATCTCTCCTCCTCCTCTCTCTCTCTCTCTCTCTCTCTCTCTGTCTCTCTCTCTCTCTCTCTCTCTCTCTCTCTCTCTCTCTCTCTCTGTCTCTCTCTCTGTGTAACAACAACCACTACTTATCTCTCCTCTCCTCCTCCTCTGTTCTCTCTCTAGCTGTGTAACAACAACCACCACTGCCACTGTGACTCAGGCTGGGCCCCTCCCCTGTGTGACCAGGAGGGGACAGGAGGGAGTATCGACAGTGGCCCTGTCATCAACCACAGTATGTTATCAATCAACCAACCAGTCACTCAAATAATGATTCAGTCAGTCAATTAAATCTAATAACTGATGTGGTGTTGCAAAAGACTACTAGGTTTAAACAACATGTATTTCATTATTGGTTTTCAAGTCATATCTTCCAGGTTTGCTCTGACCTCTGTTGTTTATGTTGTTTGTGTTTCTAGGCAGTCTACTTCCTGTCCTGTTGCTCCTCCCCCTGGTTCTCTTCGTCCTATTGGCTGCTGTGGGACGATGGTGCTGCTACAGCCATAAACTACATAAAAACCTTCCTCTCAAGACCTCGGTCCCACCACCCAAGACAATGTGTGTAACTGTTTTTCTGTTGTTTTTACATCTTTAACTGTTTGGATTTTTCTTATTTTATTCAAGGCAAATATGCAACATAGACATTGCAGAGTAATGAGTGCTCCTGAGTAATGAGTGCTCCTGAGTGGCGCAGTGGTCTAAGGCACTGCATCGCAGTGCTAACTGTGCCACTAGAGATCCTGGTTCGAATCCAGGCTCTGTCGCAGCCGGCCGCGACCGGGAGACTCATGGGCGGCGCACAATTGGCCCAGGGTCGTCCAGGGTAGGGGATGGAATGGCCGGCAGGGATGTAGCTCAGTTGATAGAGCATGGCGTTTGCAACGCCAGGGTTGTGGGTTCGATTCCCACGGGGGGCCAGTATATAAAAAAAAATGTATTCACTAACTGTAAGTCGCTCTGGATAAGAGCGTCTGCTAAATGACTAAAATGTAAATGTAATCAACATCTCAAATGTAACTTCAAGAATGAAAAACACTGTTTGACTCCACAGTTGTCCAGTCAGTTGTTCAGTCCCTGCTGAAGCCAAACATCTACAAGCCAACAGTCTTGCCAATGGTCACCTTGCCAACAGTCTTGTCAACGGTCACCTTGCCAACGGTCATGCCAACAGTCACCTTGACAACAGAAATGCAAACGGCCATGCCAACCCTACCTTCCTACTGAAGAGACAGGGCTCAGACAAACTGGTAAGGGGATCTGTTCATTCACCAGAGTACTTTGTATGTACAGTACAGTCAATACTAAAAAGGGTACTCTTGACAGGTAAATAACTAAATTAAATGTTTTAAGTTCTGACAGTAATGCTCTGAGTGATTGTGTTTGTCCTCCACAGAGTCAGTCCAGTCCTCGCCCCAGCCCCTCCACCAGGACCAGGCACACTGTCTTCCGTCCCACAGTTAAACCCCCTCCTATACCTGCTTACGTAGCCCAGCAGAGACAGGCTCTATCCCAGCCCCAGCCTCAACCCTCCCTCCAGCCCAAGCCCCAACCCTCTCTCCAGCCTCTGCCACAGCCCAAGCCCCAACCCTCTCTCCAGCCTCTGCCACAGCCCAAGCCCCAACCCTCTCTCCAGCCTCTACCACAGCCCAAGCCCCAACCCTCTCTCCAGCCTCTGCCACAGCCCAAGCCCCAACCCTCTCTCCAGCCTCTACCACAGCCCAAGCCCCAACCCTCTCTCCAGCCTCTGCCACAGCCCAAGCCCCAACCCTCTCTCCAGCCTCTGCCAAAGCCCAAGCCTAAACCTCCTCCCATCCTCAGCTACCTAGCCCAGCAGAAAGGACCCCTCCCGCCCCTTCCCCCAGCCATCCTGCCCCCCAGTGCCAAGTCCTCCCCCTCAACACCTCACACACACAGACCTGACCCCCCCAACAGACCCCCGCCCCCCCGCCCCCCTGCCCGCTCTCCAAACCCCAAATATCATTGGACGTGTTACAGAGAGGAGTCCAATCTGGCGCCACCTGGTGGACAGAAGTAACCCAGCAGGTAAGAACAGATTTTTTTGTTAGGGTGTGTCCCAAATGGCACCCTTTTTCCTTTATATGGCACTAATTTTGACTCTTATTTTCTGTTCTAGATTCCAAAGCAACAGAAAAGTTATGGTTAATTATCAAAAGATCTGTTATTTTCACTCCATTTCATGATGTTCCACTTTCTTTTCTAGATCCCAAAACAAGATCTCAGGGAGGAGTTGAGGACCAACACTGGACCACTGAGCTCAGTGAGATAACTGGACATCTAACTGGACATCTCTTCTCTCTCTGTGAGCTGCATGTTTTTCCACGGTGTCCAAAGCAGACCATCACCATCAGCCTTTATGAAAAACATGACGCTGTGGGAGAGAGGAGGGCCACAGCTGTCCAAAATGGCACCCTAAAAGTACTGCACTATATAGGGAATAGGGTTCCATTTCAGATCTGTCCAGGGATGCCATCACTATAGAATGCTACTGTCTAGCCTGGTAGCCTTCTCTGTGGGCCCATCGCAGTATTTAGATTTAATTCTAACAACAAAGACAAATGAGTTGCTTGATTAAGAAACATCTCTGGCTACCAGGCTAGCTGCCAGTCTATGTCTTGCCTTACCACTTGAAACCAGGCGTCCTGTACACTGGACTTTTATCCACTGATTTAGTTATTGTGGATGGTACCTTATACCATGGTTTCACAGTATCATGTGTTGATATGCTGTTTCAGGTGTATTTATTTGCAAAGCTTCAGAGCAAAGAAACTAGTGTTTAAAGTCAATGTACTATATATGGTTTCTACAAGAGCATGAGCCTTAAGGGAATATTTTATATTAAGACAACGCCACTCATAGAATGATGCTTAATGCTTCTAGAATGTGAATAAACGATAGACTGGAATTATAAGGACACAGACGTGCATGTTGTTGTTATTACTGTGTATGTCTAAGATGAGGGACATCTTAAATGTTGCAGTAACTATTAGAAAATGATATATTGTTTTTGGTATGACTTTGTGTTTTTCATTTTTTTCTGTATTGTACTGTTCTTGTTTTGTTCGGTGCTAAATTCAGGTCTTCTGACTGGATGGATGGATATTTGGACACCTTGAAGGTTAATTGTTCCTGTATAACTACATACAGTATGTTATCCTTTGAAATGTGATGCATAGGACAGCGGAATCAACCCAGTTATAGTCAGGCCCCTAAAATCTATGTATATAAAATAATCTGGTTTCCGATGATTATTGTTGAAATTCACCATCCACAATCAGACCTATGCAAACAGTGTGCCTTCAGTTTGATTTGAAATAAACTGTTTAAAAAAAAGGACTGAGAATTCTGATCTACAGTACACTATCTCTACATGTTGCCTTTTGCACTTGCTGAGAAACTACAGTAGTTAGAAATGGAATGAGAAGTGTCCTAGAATTATCTATAGATGTCAGTACTGTCCTAGAATGATCTCTAGATTGCAGTACTGTCCTAGAATGATCTATAGATGGCAGTACTGTCCTAGAATGATCTATAGATGGCAGTACTGTCCTAGAATGATCTATAGATTGCAGTACTGTCCTAGAATGATCTATAGATGGCAGTACTGTCCTAGAATGATCTCTAGATTGCAGTACTGTCCTAGAATGATCTCTAGATTGCAGTACTGTCCTACAATGATCTATAGATGGCAGTACTGTCCTAGAAGTATCTATAGATGGCAATACTGTGGTACATACAGTCTATTTGGAAAGTATTCAGACCCCTTGACTTTTTCCACTTTTTTTGTTACATTAGACTTATTCTAAAATGTCAGAGTGACCATCGGGTTCTTGGTCACTTCCCTGATCAAGGCCCTTCTCCCCTGATTGCACAGTTTGGCCAGGCGGCCAGCTTAGGAAGAATCTTGGTGGTTCCATGCTTCTTGCCATTTAAGAATGATGGAGGCCACTGTGTTCTTGGGGACCTTCAATGCTGCAGAAATGTTTTGGTACCCTTCCCCAGATCTGTGCCTCGACACAATCCTGTCTTGGAGCTCTACGGACAATTCCTTTCACCTCTTGGCTTGGTTTTTGCTCTGACATGCACTGTGAACTGTAAGACCTTATATAGACAGGTGTGTGCCTTTCCAAATCATGTCCAATCAATTGAATTTACTACAGGAGGACTCCAATCAAGTTGTAGAAACATCTCAAGGATGATCAATGGAAACAGGATGCACCTGAGCTCAGTTTCGAGTCTCATAGCAAAGGGTCTGTATACTTATGTAAATAAGGTATTTCCGTTAATTATTTTTAATACATTTGCAAAAATTTCAAAAAAACTGTTTTCGCTTTGTCATTATGGGGTATTGTGTGTAGCTTGATGAGGGGAAAATAATATTTTATACATTTTAGAATAACGCTGTAACATAACAAAATGTGGAAAAAGTAAAGGGGTCTGAATACTTTCTGAATGCCCTGTAAACTGCCTTTATTGTCATCAGATCAGTTCTTCTCTCTACTGGCATGAATTGGCATTCCATTCAAAACATAATAAATATTGTTTTGGTTGTGGTAGTAACAATAAGGCCTAGATTCAATCCGTAGCGCGGAAGAACCACACTATAGCGCGATTGACATTTAAGGGCAATGTTCCCACGTTTGCAGAGACTGCAATCATGGTAAACGCTGCATATGTTGACTCAATCGAAATTACCTTTAAATTTTTATCACCCTATAACGCAGGATCTTCCTCGCTACGGATTGAATCTAGAGGAGGTTGGTGGCATCTTAATTGGGGAGGACAGGCTGGGAGCGGTATAAGTGGCATGGTATCAAATACATCAAACACATGTGTTCCGTCCTCCTCTCAGCAACCTCCACTCTAGCCCTAAGTAGGCCTATGTCTCTGTCTGTATGACTGGACCAGATCAGAAGACATGTCACGACTACCGGCTGTTGTTGTTGACTACTAGAATATGCCAGCCGAATATACAGACAGCTCATCCTCTTCTCCCTGTTCCTCCCTCCGCCTCCATCTTCCTCTTCTTCCTCTTCCACTCTCTCCAAACTCCTCCCACTTCCCCTTCCTTTTTCCATCCTCTCTCTTCTCTCCTGTCAGAAGCAGCTGACTCCTCTCAACTCCATTGATTGTCTTGTTGCTTCACAGCCTTACTTACCAATTGGGCAATGTTCCAGAAACTTCACTGTAAGAGCTATATACTTGAAGGGATTTAATTTGATCGCGTGTTGTTGACAATGTGGCTTTTAAAGGCAATGATCCCGCGTCCGCGGAGATTGCATTCACAGTAATCGCTGCAGATGTCGGCTCAATCGGAAATTGTCTTTAAAAGCTGCATTGTTGACAACCCGAGATCAGAATGAATCCCAGCCTAACTCCGTGGTTTTGGATAAACAAAACAAATGTTTTTAGCAAATGTTTATTTGCTCTTAATGATTGATTTCAGATCGATGGATAAAGCAGAGAGTTAAAAAGAGACCCCCTATAAGTTCACACCGAGGGCCTGAAAGGTTCCTGTCCTTTGGATCTTCACTGAGATGAAAGACAGATTTACTCCAATCAAAAGACCCTAAACATCAAGGCTAGACCCCCGTACCCCCCACCACACACACACACACACACACACACACACACACACACACACACACACACACACACACACACACACACACACACACACACTACACACCACACACACACACAACACACACACACACACACACACACACACACACACACACACACACACCACACACACACCACACACACACCACACACACACACACACACACACACACAACACACACACACACACACACACACATACACACACACACACACACACACACACACACACACACACACACACACACACACACACACACACACACACACACACACACACACACACACACACACACACACATGCACACACACACACACATGCACACACTCTCTATGGACTCTATGAGGTTGTGGATGTCTTCAGAGAGGGAAGTTTGAGGTGAAGGGGGGAGATATGGGTGACATAAGGGTGAGGTAGGGGTGCAGAGGGAGACGTTTGTTTATCTTAATTACCCTCCCTCCTGCACTGTGAGTTAATTATCGTTAGCGTGTTGTGAGCTGCACTGCGACCCCTGTGGCGCGTCATCCATTAGATATGATTGGCTGGAGGATGAAATGCACGCCGGTGACACCCCCGACTCCCCACACACAGTGGGGGAGAAGGAGGGGGAGGGGAGAAGGGGAGGCATGGAAAAGGGTTGATGGTCACAGTGATGAGCTCACCTGCTGACACCTCTACCAGCATGATCCCTGGTGGTATAATGAGCTAATCAAGCCTGGGTTGGTTTCTCCTGTAAATGCAGATTTTCTCTCACTATAGATCTATCCTTTCCCCTCTGAAACTCTCTCTCTCTCTTATGTCTTTCTGTCTATGCCCATGCCTTTCTGTATATTATACAACCGCTCTCCATCTCATGCTCTGCTATTCCAGGTGCTAGGCCAATCAATCAGCCATTTCAGATGACAACCTCCAGGTCACCATAAAGGAGTGTTGGATTTTTGCTATTTTAACTCAATGATGTTAGTCACTGCCTCTAATGTTATGCAAGACAGAGACAATATCACACTTCAGTTTAGTGCTATAGTTCCCTCAGGGGCTTCTATCATAGAGTACAGGTCCATACAGGACCTAGCCCAGGGGCCAGTGGAATGGAGGGTTAGCTTAGCATTAGCCCAGGGGCCAGTGGAATAGTATTGAACCTAGCTTAGCGATAGCCCAGGGGCTAGTGGAATGGAGGGTTAGCTTAGCATTAGCCCAGGGGCCAATGGAATAGTATTGAACCTAGACTAGCGATAGCCCAGGGGATAGTGGAATGGAGGGTTAAGTGTGTTAGCCTAGTGTTAGCCCAGGGGCTAGTGGAATGGAGGGTTAAGTGTGTTAGCCTAGTGTTAGCCCAGGGGCTAGTGGAAAGGAGGGTTAGGTATGTTAAGTGTTCCTGTGATTGAGGTTGGTGCCTCTGGATGAGAAAGGTCACCATCAATGATTAATGAGAGAGAAATGTCATATGGGAGAAAGGGAGTGGGGAGGAGGGAAGAGAGGGAGGGAGGCTGGGAGGGAGGCTGGGAGTGAGACCACCAACTCCTCTCCTCTCCCTCCACCTTCCCTTTCAACTCAATTCCTCCCTCTACTCCCCTGTTCCTGGGTAGCTGGGTCCACACTACATAG